GAAAAAGGATGAGATAAAAATAATGAAGAAATTGTTCAAACTCACAGCTGAGCCAATCTGACTGCTAACTGGGCTCTTATGATGATAATACAGAGGATATAAAGGAGAATGATCAGGATGTCTAAAGACACAAGGTGAATTTCCTGCATAAGTACAGAATTGTGTGATGACCAGCAAGTCACTTGGGTCCACATTCACAGAAGTATCTTGAAATTTATTTCAAGTGACACAAAATTTGGGGTTAAGAGTTAAAGGTTTCAGTACCCTATAAATCCAAATGTGGTTGGATTCAATGACCTTAAAGGTCTTTTCCAAACTAAATGATTCTATGATTCTTGGTCTTAGCTCTTGAATGGGGATAATAGTTCTTTGCCATCTGACAAGAATGTGTCAGTGATAATATATTGAGGGTGATGAGACAGTCATGATCTGTGCTAGTGAGGATTAGGTGAGTATGAAAAAGAAACTTTTTCATTATTGAACAGGCTCATTTCATAGCCAGAATATTTTTTCTACCTACATCTATGGGAAGGTATGACATACGGAAGAGGTAAAATAGGCTATGCTTTTAATTGTCTGAGTAAAAATGAACTTATTTCATATTCAGCCTCAGAATTTTAGATATTATTAAAAATCCTTCTTCCTGACTTCTGCCCTTCCTTCAATTATGCATACTGAAATGGATGTTAACCTTGCAGGTTAAAATGTATATTTATTATATTGGGTTTTTTTAAAACAATTGTCAAATTATTATGTAGATTAAAATAGGTACAAATACAATAAAACAGATACATAAATGTTTTCTATACTTGGAAGTGATTTTTTTAATAGTGACAAGGGTCTGTAGAAACAGAAATTCAGAACTGATGAGCAAAACAAGAAAATAGCAGATGACACTGGACAACTTCCCATTATTTACTGTTCTGCACTGTCAAGAAGCAACCTCTGCATTTTTGTCCTCATCAGCTGGTCCTTGTAACACTGCATGGTTTTTAGAAGAGGGTAATACATATCATTTTGCTCCAGCTCAGCTGTTCCTACGCAAACAGATCCCTTGATATAGAGACACATAAATGCTAACATTACATTAGATTAGATCCTTTACTTTGAGGCTGGTGAGGCAGTGAAACAGGTTTCCCAGAGAAGTTCTGGATGTCCCATCCTTGGAAGTGTTCAAGGCCAGTTTGGATGGAACTCTGAGCAGTTTGGTTCAGTGGAAAATGTACCTGCCCATGGCAAAGGGGTCGGAACTAGATGGTGTTGAAAGTCTCTTCCAAACTCATGACCTCCTGAACCCATCTAAATAGAAAAAGAAAATATTTATAAATCCAGGTTAAAGTGAAGCATTTTGACTATAACCTTTAGCTGCACAAAGTATTTTCAGTGTAGAAATTTTGTGTAAGCAGTAAGAGACTATAGATAAATAATATTGGAAAAAGCTCAATAAATGTCCTTTCATAATGAGTGCAAGGGGGAAAAATTTTATAAAACATAACAAATAAAAATAAAAAAACCATGATAATTTGGATGTAGAAACTTCAATATGGACCAAATTTTGAGAATATTTATTTATTCCTTTGTTCCATTTAATTGGAAAAAATTCTTCTCTCTGAGATCTTTAGCAATTTCCCTTTTCCAACTCATTTTAGTAGCAGTTGATCTCTCTTCAACACATAGCTCAAACTTGGAGGACAAAGCAAACACTATGCTGTGTTCAAATAATTATCAAATAGCTCTTTCCAATAACCTACTTCAATAACAGTGAAACAAAAGGAAACTAAACTATCAAACAGCTTGGAGAATGGAATTTTTTTTACGTAGAAAATTCCAGGAGATTCTCATTCTGAATCAGGACGGATCTTCAGAAATATTTGAATTGTTTTCTGGGATGAAAATTTTCCATATTTTAGCTCAGAGATGCTAAACAACAACATGTCATTTTAATACATTGAAGGGTCAGTTCAAGATCTACTGCTTCTAAATTTTGAAAATTAGATAACTTGGCAAAAGCTGTCCTTTCTCTGTATAAATATTGCATTTCAGCAACTTCATGGGTTTAGTTAAAATGGTTACCAGTTTTAAGCAGTACATTGAATATCACCAAGAATATATAAAATACTATTAATGATTTTCTTTTATTTGTTGCTGTTTTTCTCATAGCAGATGCCAGTGATTCCAGTAGCTGGGTAGGTGGTGAGTCTGTGCTCCTACAACAGTTCAATAAAACTGCTTTCAACTATGCCAGCACATAGCCAGGCTGCACCAATGACATAATGGGGTCACCATTAATCACTTGAGAAATCATGAATGCAATGAATGGATTTTCAAAGAGCAGATTTTTAAAGTACATTGCAAATGCATTTGTAATTTTGAGACTAGACATATATGCTTTGTGAGTTATCTAGAATCATCAATTATCTTCAGCACTCATTAACAATGGTGTAACTTACCTCTGGGAGAAGTCATATTAAAAGACTCACAGCTTATCTATGGAAGCATAGTAAACTATATTAAGCTGTTAATCACTTAAAAGCCCATAATGCAGAATTAATTTCAAAGGTGGATAGCAGACCACTGGTCAAAAACGTTCCTGACTTCCAAAATAATTGACACCATCTAAATGTTTTAAAGGACTTTTCTAAAGAAGTAAACAAATTACCTGCTGCCAGGCCACAGGAAATATTTTGAGTAATAACTAAGCATGTGTACTGAGAGTACTAATTTGCAAGGTCATTTTAGACCTCAAGCACTATTTCTGCAAGTCGCAATGCAAAACCTATTCAAATTTTCTCACAGAAGGAGCTCTACTTTGACCTCATAACATCTCTGCTTGGTTCACATCAGCCTTGAGACCTAAGCAGATCAAGTGTTTCACTGTGAAAAGTACCAGGACTCCTATCAGTTTTTTCAGCTGCAGTAATTTTTTCAGCTTTCAGTGATCAGAACCCTCTGTTCCTACATGAAATCAGGAGTTCTTCAAGAGCTTTATCTCTTCAATAGTGACCCATATAACAGCAAGGAATCTGCCAATAGCAGCAGATCCTGAAAAATCAACCTTTTACTAAATAAGATTTTTTTTTTTAATAATTTCTAATTGATATATACATTTCTGGCCAATACAGTCTTTTTAGAGGTCATACTTTGTGGGGTTTTTTCCTTACATTGTTGATAGAAAGACATAAAGTCCTGGCTCAAATGAAATCTCAACACAACTAAAGATCTTTCCATATCACTGCATGAAAGTTTTCAATGACAATAAAAAAAAAGTTTCAGCTCATTTTGATGCACTTCCTGTCATTCCATGCCATGCAATTGTTTCCCCTTATTTCCAAATTTTTGAAATGAAGAATTTTCATTACAGCAGAGCTCCAAGACTGTTTACTCTACAATTTTTGAATCAGTGCCAATGATGGTGATGGGGATCTCAGCAGCAACAACAAGCTACATTTAGGGTTTGTGTGAGGCTTCAGAGAGCTGCAGAACCTACAGCTTCAGGGACACTGGCAATCTAAAAGGCACTGCAAGGTCATCAGGTCAGGGTGCCACAACTGATAAATCCACACTTTTTCAGCTGTGTAACCTATGGTAGATCTCTGCACAGTCCCAAGATGTCATTAGGATCAGGGTTAGAGTTGGGGCTGGTGCTGAGTGAGTCAAAGAGCCTACAGCTCCAGGAGCACTAGGGCTGGAAATGGCATGCCAAGGTGATCATAGCACAGCCCAGCTTTGCTGCTCCTACATCCTTCTAAAATCAAGCACCCATGTGGATTGGGATTTTAGGGTTAGTCTAAGGGTTAGGGAAAGGGTTAAGGTTAGGGTTGAGTAAAAGAGCCTACAGCTCCAGGAACAACATGGCTGTAACATGAATGGCAAGGTGGTCCTGGTAGGGCCTCAATATTGCTGCTCCTACTTCTTTCTAAACTTGATCACCTATATGGATGAGGGTTTTATTGTTAGGGTTAGAGTTAGGGTTAAGTTTATGGTTATGTTTAGGATTAGGGCTAGGGTAAGGGTTAGTGTAAAGTTGTCCTTCAGTTAGGGTTGAATGAGTAGTTATTTCAAAATTCCTCATTTTGTGAAATGAAATTAAATCTTTCTATGACTTCTATGAAACATCTCTTTTATTAGCAATTTTTGCTAAGCATGGGACATGGTCTTTATTCAGTACTTGCACAGCATAACTCCACTACAAAAGAAGCATTAAGTGCACATTTAATCAGTGAATAAAGAGTTGATCACATAGAAAAGTTCACCAGTGATATGATCATATAAAAAGATGGATTTCAAATGGATAAGATTCCATTTTTTTTAATATTTAAATATCCTGCTTATCCATAACATGTGAGAAAACTGTAAGCAGTTGCCCTTGAAGATTATTTTTTTGCTTAACGCTCCTAAAATTTTAGAAAGGTACTCAGCTTATTCTAAGGACGGTAGATGGGAAAAGCCCTACCATTTTTGGAAGATCCTTCCAAAAATGCATATTTTCTAAGTAAAACCTAAAATTGTCTTTGGGCTTTTAATTTTTGTTATACCTGTTTTTGCATCTTGGTATTCCTCATCAGACTCAGGGTAAAATGTGCTCCCTACAGAAGCAAGCCCACAGTGTTTTATTCCACCTTTACTGTGGTTTTAGTATACTTTTATTTATGTTTTTTCCCTCCGGATAACTGCCTCTTGCAATTTATTGTGAACACTAAATTACTGTCTATGACTTAAAAAAAAACCCCAAACACAAGCCAAAATCAAAACCAAAAAAAAGAATACAAAACCAAAATAAAAATACCCTCAAAAATCAAAACAAAGAAAGAAACACCAAACCTTAATATTAAAAAAAATTGAAATAAATAAATAGAAAACACAAAACCAAATAAAATCTCAAAAAACCAATGTGCTGCGAGGTGCTCCGCCTCACGCAGGAGGGCACCGCCCAGCGCCCCAAGAACTCGAAATAGCTCCTGGTGAAGTTTGCCTCCTCTCGCTGCCCGTCCGAGCCGCTGTTTCCCGTTGCCGTGGTGACACTGCCGCGGTAGCAGCGCGGTGTGGGGCTCTCGTCCTCTCCCTGGAGCTCCCGGCCGTCCGCTGTTGACGGATGAGGAATTTCAGGGCGGAGGGGCAGCCGGTTTCCAGAGGCGGCCAGAAAGGCGGAGGCTTCGTGAAGAGTTTGACTGAACGACAGGTGAGTGGGTACCTGAAGTAGACGGGGGGACTGGAGGACTGCGGGTGTTCTGAGGGCTGGACTACAACTCCCAGCATGCAAAGGGGCGGTGCCGCGGGGCTGTCAGGAAACGGCGGTGCTGCCTCCGGACGCGGTGCCTTTCGGGAAGTGTAGTTTTTTCTCAGCCGGGATTTGCTCCTCTCCTTCCCGGCAGAAATACGCTCCGTGTGCTCGGTCTCCCTCTGTAGGAGCCGGCAAGGAGCTGCTCGCTGCCTCTCATTCCCCTGATTGCAGGGGGCAACAGGTTGCGAAGGGATGGAGGGAGGGCGTTGACAGGGTACCCGGTTTCCCCCTGCCTACATCCATCCTCAAGTTTTTTACTTCTCTGGGTTACATCATTTCTCACTGCTTTCTCTCTATCATTAAAACTTCATCGAGTGCTCTCTATATTCTTAGTCTTATTTTGTAATTGTTAATATTTATTTATTGTTCAAACGGTTTTTTCCCCCCTTCGTAGCTATTAGGGCTGGAAGAAAAAAATCCTTGTGAGGGAGTAGAGTGCTGGTGGAGGTTTTAAATGTTAAAATTTATTAACATATGCAAAATTATAAGGGGTATCCTGAGAGGGATTCTCTTATCACAAGGTAATTTTTTTCTTAGTTTTTGCTTGTTGGTATGGAATGAGGTTTTCATGTTTTAAGCCAACTGTTCAATAAACACATCTGAATGAACTTAGGCTAAATGAGCACTCTCTTTATTTTGGCTCATGCTGTGCTGAAAGGTATTTTATTTTGTGTAGATTTCAAAACACATAAGACGCTGTGGGAAGTAGAATGTCGGAAGATATTGAAGGAATTGAAAAAGAAGTAGAAATTGAATTAGGCAGAATCAGTGTTTCTTCATTTGGAACAGATGATGCTGAGACAGAGGTATCAGATGAACCCTGGAGTGACAGTGAGACAGTAAGTATTCAGTGAGCTAAAACTGCTTCTGTGGTGTGTAGTATGAAAGTAGTGTTGGCACTGGAAAGCACGTTTGATGAAGGAACATTTTCCCAACACACCTGAGGATTTCTTCTGAAAAGTAGTCTTGCTTCATGAAAAATGTAACCTCCAGTGGTGACAAGACAATAAGAGAGATGAGTATCAGCATTCTGCTTGAGAAGATCAGACCTGGAGATTTTGTTTTAGAATCCCCTGAAACTGGAAGACTTGATGAGGTAGATTAAATCTAGATGAATAAACTGATGATTCTTCACTGAAATCTGTATTTTTCTCTAATAAGAGAGTGATTTAGGAGATTCCTTATAAAATTTCCAGATACAAATTTCATATAAATAGATTCATCAAGTCCTCTTTCTTGGATTACTTATTTTGGGAAGCAGCTTTCCTCTGAAATAAAATTGATTATTTGTGTCCTTTTCTGCCATTTTAATCTTTCAGATTCATGGCAAAGGGATTGGTTTGTAGGATATTAGGGTAGATAATATTGATCATAAATCATGTTTCATATGGATATAGACAAAGGCATCAGTGATAAGTGTGTATGCACTCACATACTGAATGTTAGCAATGTCTACCACAATTTGCACATCTGAGAGCAAGCAGTCTGTTTTCCCCAAAATCTTGACATTAAAGACAGTCTTTTGAACAGAAAGTTTATATGTAATAAAGAAACCTGAAGGATTGGTTCTACATGCATACTTTAAATATTAATAAATTTAAAATTGATTTATTTTGTAAGGAGTCTAAAAATTTTAAACAAAAACATCCTGTGTCTCATAGGTATTTGCTAATTTTTATCTTATCCTTTTTCTTTAATTTCTTTGTCCAACACAGTTATAAATACAATATTTTATTGAAATGTGTTTCTGGAGATAGTGAAAGATACATTACAAAATTTGATTAGAATGTAATTAAACTTAGAATTATTAATTGTTCAGTGGGTGGTAAGACAATGAGAAGAGTGTAGGAATTTGGAAAAATTTTGGTGGACATTGCTGCTAAATCTCCATCAATGCTTTATAGGTGAAGCCAAAACAAGTCTTTATTTTCTCATGTCAAGTATTTTCCTCTTTTCAAGCCTGTGAGATGAAAATATAGAATATATGTCAAAGGCTGTGTTTTTTTTAGATTTCAGAAGACTTGCCAGAATCAATTCTATCCTATTTAAATTTTATCAAGAGCAGCAATCAAGATGCTGCAAAGGTTATACTGCAGGACTTAGAAGATGAGCAAAGTACAAGTAAGCATCAATCACAGTTAAAATGTTTGTACACCTCATATTGCCAGTGGAAGCTAGACTAACAACCATCAGTAAAATAATACAAACTTTAAGTAGAACAAGCAGTGAAACCTATTCCATTAGCTTCTGGATGCATGATGAAAATCTCTAGGAATAAATCCATGCAAGGCTATCTTCTTAAATTAACATCTGAGCAGAAATTAAACTTTTCTGAAAACTCATCAATGCTAAAGAGGGCAAGCTGCAAGATTACTCTCTGAGTCAGGGCCCAGGCCAGACTCTTCAGCGAAATCTAAAATGAAGTCAGTAGGAGCTGAAATGCAGAATTCAGATACAATTGACTCCCACAGGATATGTTTAGTCTGCCTTGAGAGATGCCCAACTCACATTGCATGAAATGACTGTTAATTGGCAAAAAAAATATTGCTTTCAGCTGTGTGACTGAAGCCAAGCTCATAGTTTATATGCCAGAGACCTGGCACTGTCTTTTCCATGAGTGCAACAGGCTTGGTGACCAGAAGTTCAATATTGACTACAAATTTAGATATCTGAGGAATATCCTTATTTATTCTTTCTTTTGTAATACAGTCTCATTCTTTTTCATTGTTTTTATAGTTCTTTGTCAACTTTTGACCTATCTGATACAAGTGCTACTGTATTTTTCTGCACAGAAAATGTTCTGCTGTGTTTTATGATGGGGATTGCTCTTTTGTATTTGCTATCACTGTATTCTTACAGTATCATTGTGTTCGTTTCTGGTACACACATTTTCTGCTTTTAATGTAGATAATGATTCCCATACATATTTAAGTAAAACTGGGGGAGAAGGAAGGGAAAAAAACCCCTTTATTTTAGTTTAAACAAATTGAATAGATAAACAGTATAGACCAAAACTGAGCACTGGTAAGGGGTTTTCTCTCAGTGAACTAATTTTTTTATTTATTTTTTCTTTAGGTGACATTTATGAAGTAGTTTCTAGCCATACTTCTGAATCAAATGAAGATTCAAAACAATTTAATGAAAAGGTATTTTTTAATTTGTACAGTATTTATTGTGAAAAAAGATTTTATTAAGTAATCTAGATAACTTACATTTACTTTGGTGGCCTTCTAAGGAGATGTATAAATGTATTCAGGCTTTTTTCTGCCAAACTATCCATAAAGTATTAAGATGAGTTTCTGTATACAATTCTTGAGAATTAGGACATCAACTGTAATAGGAACATGTCTATAAGCTTTCAAATTTTAAATAAATTATCTGAGATATTGAGCACAAAAATCAACAAAATTAAGCAAAACTGAATAATCCTGTATTGGTAATTATTTGCAGAATATTAATATTATGATAGCACTTTTAAGCTTCTCTAATCCTATTTTTTTATGATGATCAGGAAGATGTGCTACTATTAATCTTGCTCCTAATATATTCCGTTGTTTTATAGAAAATTTTAAAATAGTAATCTATGTACCTTTCAAAGACAAATCAAGAGTTATGAACATGGGTGTTTCTATATTTTCATAGGATTTACTGAATAACTTGCTGAAGTTTTCTTAGAAAAATACAAAACTGTGTTTACTGTAATCACTTTTAATTTGCTGCCTGGCTTTTATTAGTGAACACTCTTGCAAACATGATTTTTGTTCTCAGACCATTGTTTAAAACAGCACAATTACTTCATGTGACTTCAGCTGCATAGCAAATATTAATATAGGCCCGAAGCATGTGATGAACAGATGATAAATGAGCAGAAATAGATTACTTGCCAGTAAAGAACAATGAAATAAATATAACAATCCTTTTGCCCACAGTATTATTTTGAAATAGACTTCTTAAAACTTTGCTCTGTAACTAGTTCTTCCCCAGTGTGCATAACAGTATTCACACATGCAGTGCTTGGTTTCACAGAAAGTAAAATAAATCCCAAATGCAAGACATTAATTTTTCCAAGTCAAAATATTAAATGTATTTAAAAACCAAATAGAAATATTATGTATTTTGACAAATACTACAATATTTGTTACTCTAGTAAACAATATTTTGGCTGATGTGTTTGCAGTATTCAATGTGTAAGGATTCCAGTCAGCAGTAAGCTTAACGCCGTTGTACTTGTCATATGGTATAAAGCTCATTGTTGTTCTGGAAGCTTTTTATAATGTTCTGCTTTTAAATTTTGTTTCTTGTTTTTTAATAACAATTTTAAACTATGTTAGATACTGCTTGGAGGAGAAAATGAAGACTTGCAGCTTGCTGCAACACCTGATTATAGTCAGTCTATCAGTGATGAAGTGGTCACTGATGACCACTTTCTTACAGGTAAGCAAGCACATTTTTCATTTGGATGAGTTGATCTTTAACGTATCACTATTTCATGCTTTTCTTTTGTCAAAAGTATCATAGAATTATTTTTAAAGAATTTAATATTGCATTATACAACAAGGCTTGATACTTTCTGAATTGGACATAACCAAACACATTTGCTTTTATCTCATTTCAAGATTACAAAATCATCATAAAAATTAGTATCAGAAAATACCACTCAAAAATGAAAGCTGCACAGAGGCACTAAGCAGGTTCTGCTTTGGCCACAGCTTTTTCTTTTTTTTTTTTATGGTTTGGTTTGAGGGGGTTTTTTTGTAGTCACCTTGTGTGGGAATGTTCCTTTGCCATGGCCTTTGGATGACTTGGGCTGGAGCATACCAGTGCTAAAGGCCCCACTAATAGCCACCGAAGACGTCCTCTGCAATCCTGCAGTGTATGTTTTTAGAATAAGCATAGTAGTTGCAGAGTCAGTAAGTGTGCAGAATAGCAGTAAGACATCTCTGCAAAGGACTTGTGCTGCAATTCTGATTTCCTTGGGGATATATATTGCTGGCTATATCATCATAGGCACTTTTTCTTACCAAATACCTTAAGACTGTTTAATCTTCCCCAGTGCTTATTACAAAATTAAATAAAATGTTTTCTTGGTTGATTAGTAGCTGGCCTTGGAATGAGCGTAAGTCTTGCCCATTGTGAAGTAGAGGAAAAGTGTAGAGCAGCACTTGAGCTTGAAGATGAGAAGATGAAAAAGTGGAAAGCTGAGAGAGAATCAAGGGAAAAACAGAATGAAGAGAAACATGCAAGAAGGGTGCAGCATCTGGAGCAATTTGAGGCTGAAAGAATAAAGTTAGATCTTCTTCATAAGGTAATGAATGATATTAAGCTAATGTGTTCCAGTCTGGACTATCTGAATTCAGGCTTTAATGTGAAAAAGAGACTACTATCTCAAACTGTATGACAATCCTACACCTTGTCTACTTGTGTTACCAGTGAGTAAAACATATTTAAGTATAGTCCATGGGTTTTTATGTGTTTATGGTTTTAATCAATAGCCAATGAATTTGCTATGCTAAATTTTAAATTATTCCTTAAGCTTTGCCTTTACAAAGTTCTTATATTGTGAAAACAGCCAAATTACTGGAAATGGGAGTGCTGAAATTAAACACAAATTAAAAATAGTCACTGCTCCCTAATAGAAAATACTTAGCTAGTTTGGACTTCCCACCCCAATTTCACATTTCAGTGTTAAAAATCTTAATGGATGTAATCAGAACCAAAAATATTCAGTTCAGTAATGCTGGTGCTGTTCTTCATCTAGGTAAAAGTTACAATATTTGCTTTCCCTATCTTTGTCTGGGAAACTTACTCAGGCTTCAGCTACTGAGTTTGGCCATAACAGATGATGACTCAACACATTGACTGGTTGCACTCTCAGACTATTTAGTCATGTTTTGCTATAGTGGGTGGAGCATCATGAAAGATAAAAGAGTATAAGAGCATGAAGAAATGTAATTCTCTGATATTATGCTTGTGAGGCCACAGAATTTTATTATTCAGCCTAAATAGGTGTGTTTTGAAAGGTGCATTAACACTACATTTTTCAGTTAACTACTTTGTGGCTTTCTGAAGAGGTGGGCACCTTGGCACCAGCAGGGTAATTCAAGTCACCAGTAGGAAGAAGGGCTTAGTAAATGAAAAGATCTTTGATCTCTGAAGGCCAGTTCAGTGTCTGCTATAGCTCTCTTTTCAAAAGGTCAGCAAAACTGATAGGCCTTCTTGGCTCTTTGCTGTTGCAAATAATTTTTTGATGTAGGATGACTTTCTCTAGAGAAAGAGGGGCATGGCCGCGTTTAGGCGCTTTGGTACTGCTGTTGCAGAAATCATTTTTTTGGAGGTGAGATATGGAATCTAACTTTCCTCATTGCAGAAGGATCTAGTTGTCTGGTCTCCTGTTGTCTGAACAGTGTGCTTCTGAATGCCCATGAAAAATAGAGCTTAGACACCTGGGAGACTTTATGCTCCAAGTTGAAAGTGGTTGCTTATTCTACTTCCTTCATATCCTCCTTATTTGATTTGGTTAATATATCTTGGTTCTACCAGGAGTTATGTGGTTCTGGATCAGCTTGTTTTTTAGTTACTTATGTAACTAACTTTCTGGATGCTAACTTACAGTCCAATTGACACTTATTTTCTGACTGAGGTTTTGTTGGGCAAGGAGGGAAGTGCTATTTATTTGCAAATAGTGAAAAAGCAGACTTGAACTTTCTCGATTGAGAAGCAATTTCAGTCAGAAAAAAATTCTTTAGCTTTACTGAACAAAATTGCCCTTTGAATGATTTTAATATTATGAGTACATACCAGTGTATTTAAAGGGAGATTGTTCATGCTATTGTTCAGCTATGTTTCTGTTTTCTGCCTGTACTTTGAATGGTTTCATAACTAATTTCCATCTTTGATAGTAGTACAGATCTTGGAGAGGAAGGTGGCAGCTGTTTGGGTCAGTACCAAGATACTGACTTTCTGAAGGTATGCATCTCTTAGTATGTGGCCAAATCTACATTACTCATGCAAGTGTCCTGTTGTTTATTTCGATCCAGACATGGATCAGTTTCTCATTTAAATTTAGGCATTCACAAAATTGGATTGTTGGAAAGTCAAGAAGATGGGTGAGATTGGAGAGAGGGTGTTTTGTGTTGTTCTGGGTTTTGTACAATATTCATTGAAGTTAATTTGTTGTGCAGAAACGCCAGGCTGCAATAGAAGATGAGTTACAGAAAGAAGAGGAAGCTTGGAGAAACAAAATTAGGCAACATGAGGTAAGGTTGTACAATGAGCTTTTGTCAAAAGGCTCTGAGGTTACTGTTATATATTTGAGAATAAATGTTATCCTGTTATCATGGAACTGTTAATATGCAAGATTGTGTTTTTTAATGATAAATATGTGCCAATACCTGTCCCATTTTAAAAGTGGTTGAAGTCTATCCTAATTGTTTTGGCCTAGGAATTGATCAAGAAGCTACAGTTGCAAATGGAAGAGGAGAAAAAGGCCTTGGAAGAACAGAAAGCAAAAGAAAGACAACAACTGGCTGAACAACAGAATATAGCAGCTGTGAAAATCCAAGCTAGATTTAGAGCATTTTTAGTCCGTAAAAAATACGGTCCCATTTTAAAACAATGGAAATATGAAATGAGAAAGAAGCAGAAAATGCTAGAGGAAGTAGAGAGAGAAATGAAAGAAAGAGAGGAAAAACTGAACAGGCAAATGGAAGAAAACAGGTTAAAGAGAAAAGAGGAAAGAAAGAGACAAGAAGAACTTGAAAGACAAGAATATTTGAAGCAAGTGAGGAGGCATGAAGAATATGAGAAAAAGAAAGAAAGCCTGAGATTGGAAAGAGAAAAACAATTGCAAATAAGAGAAGAACAAAGAAAATTAGAACAAAAGAGAGCAAAAGCTGTGATGAGTGAAAATGCAAAGAATAACACAGAAAACATAAAAAAGGATAAAAAGACAGAAAATATGAAAGTAATAAGAGAAGACAAGGAGGAACTAAATAAACAAGTAGAGAAACCAAAAGAAAAACATGTTGAAATGACGGATGAAACAAATAATTGGATGATTCCAGCAGAAAGAAATTTGACACCAAGTGTGCTAGGCTCTGAGAAGGAACATTCTTCTCAAGTGAATAATGAGAACTTACACATTAATTCAGTAACACAAGTAGAAGAAAATTACTCACAAAGAAGTTATCTTGATAAAGCTTCAAATGGTCACATTTCAAAAGATGAATCTCTTAACTCTGATAAAGCTTCAAATGGTCATTTTTCAAAGGATGAATCTCTTAACTTCAGAGATAGTGACACGGTAGAAAATAAGGCAAACTGCATATGTAGCAGCCCACCAAATGTCCAGCCAAATGCTAATAACAGAGAAATTAAAGATCGATTTTCTCAGTGTGAAACTACAAAGAAAACTTTATTTCCGATGGAAAATGCTAGTGAAGAAATCAGAGACACCTGTGGCAGTAGTCAAGATGTAGCAGATTCTTCTAGTAAAGTAATTTTTCCTGATGATATGGAAAAGAAGAGAATAAACTGGATGAACACATGCAACTCTTGGTTTAAAATATATGACAAAAACCAAAGAAAGCAAGCAACTGTAAGAAAAAGACTAAGGAAAAGTTCAATTAGCAAGATGCCTCCACTAAGTACAGAAAAGATTATTCATAGTGGCCCTTGGAGTACGTTGCAGCAGGTAACTATATGAAAGTTTGAGAATTAAATGGGAAAACATGCTATTACATTTTTTTGTTATTTTCTGTTTTGGTATGCTGGCAGAGTGCTATTTATTGTTGAGCAGAAAATAGATATCGTTAGAGTTCCTATGCTCAGGTGCATATAAATAAAATATAATATTTTATATAAATATTTTATAATTTATATATAATATAAATTATTAAAAGGCAAGAGCTCTTACTTTCTGCTATATTAACAAGGTTTTGCTGTTGTATAAAGGCCCACATTTGAGCTCCTGCTCAACTAGCCGCTTCAGAGTTTTGAGAGGAATAATCTCTTCTAGAAACAAGACATTACTGATCAGCTTAGAGATAGTGTTTTGCTATAAAGGACATCTCCTGGTTGCCAGGACTTATTTTTCTTTCCGCTTAATAACTTACCTTTGTATGCTTGCTCTGTGCTCTCTTCTTGATATCCATTCTGAGATGGCTTACTAGGCTAGACACAATTCTAGGCTGAACTAGTTTTGTCTGCACTACACTCATTATTTATGAGACTGTGACTATTGTTTTCATGTTAGTTTCTCCCATAGAACAGATCAAACCTATCATTGCCATTCTTTTCTGTATGAAAAGATTACTATTAGTTGCTTGCATTTTATGCAGCATTAGTAGACTGTAGTTTCATTCTCTTTTTCATCTTAAGGAAAATTACCATAATATGATGTTGTGCAATGAATGTTCAATATACAAATATTAGTTTTATTTGTCAATAAATGCATGTAGGTCACAACGCTTACACTCGAAGATTTGCCAGCTTGTAGCCTCTCAACCTTATCTGAGTGTTCAAATCTTCAAGTTTTGACTCTGAGGCGCTGTGGACTGATTGCACTGGAAGGACTAAGTAACTGCAAAGACCTGAAGTATATCAATGTGGAGGTATCAAGCATTTTTGATTCTTTGTTATAACATGGGGAGAACTGGCAGTTTTGCTCCTTAGTTGATTGTGTAGTTGTGTCCAACTGAATATATAACTTTTAGCCTTAAGAGCATAGGAATAGCAATGAAATACTCCCAAATGTGAACATAGTTATACCAGCAGTTTTACAGTGAAAATAACCAAAAACAACATGCTGCAAATGATTCAACCTGTACTAAGATAATATTAGTCTAAATTAGCATAAGTACAGATCTTCATTACCTCAGTGTCTGATTGATGAGTGGGCAGGTGCTGTTCACCATAGCAGGTACTCAGCTTGAGCAAGAATAGGTACAAGAAAGAGTCCTTTACAACATACACCCTGTATATTAATTAAAATTAGCATATATGCTCAAGGAATAGTTCTTATAGTGGGTTATCCTAGAGGCCTAATGTTCAGGTATTCTGCACAGTGTCCTACATGGCCCTGTTTAATGACTAAAGAAAATATTTTCTTTGTAATACATCTATGTTCCAGAACTTGGCAATTTACATAAAACAGCTTTGTTCACACTTTTCTTTTAATGTGTTTCAACAACACCATTTCCCAGATGAAAAGACAAAGCACAGCAAATAGTGAAAGAGAAATCTGAGGAAGCATTATTAAAATGGCCTGGGGAAGGGGATGTTTAAGAAGCAGGACCTCTTGGAGGAAGAATATTAGCTTAGAACAGTGTTAATGTTTCTGACCAAAGTACCTCTAAATGCAGACTTTTGCTATTAGCAAGTAGGATTCCAGCAAAATTACAGCTGTCTTCATTATAATCTAGTATATATGATGTTTCTATGGAGTTTTCAGTTCATTCTCCCAGGGCTTTGAGAGGGAGAAAAATATATATGGAAGAGACTGCTTTGTTCTTAACTTCTTTTTGTGCTTTTTTTTCCCAGCTTTGGGCATTTTCAGAGCCAGAATGAAGTTCAAGATATATTCTTGTTCTATTTCAGCAGGACACAAAAAGGTCGTTTCTAGGACTTTTTTTTTTTTTTTTTTTTTTTTTTTTTTTTTTTTTTTTTTTAACTAATGGAAAAATAGGGATGCCCTTACTCCTAGCTAAGAGTTTAGGATTAAAAATAAGCAATTAAGACAATCTGCTATATTTTTACTTAGTTCTGATACTTCACTTCAGATGCTATTTAATATTCTCATTTTCTTTTATTGCAGGAGAACAACATTCAGGTAATTGACTGTGAAAATCTGGAAAATCTCTGTATTCTCATTCTGAATAAGAACAGTCTTTCATCAGTTTGTGGCTTAGATGGATGCAAAAATCTCCAAAATCTTGAACTTTCCTACAATAGAATCACTCGAATTGGTAAGAAAATTATTCCAATTTGTATAACAATATTTATGCAGTTTTTATTCCGAATTATACACGCCTTGGATTCAGAGAGTCAGCTGCTAAACCTAAGGAGACAGACTTGGGAAAAAACCTGCATCTTAAAGCATGGCTTAGCTACTGCCATGTTTTTTATCTAGCAGTATGTAACTATTGTCAGCCAAGGAGAGTTAAAATCATTCTGAAAAGGCCACTAACTTTATCTGCAGTAAGTCAGCTGGAAAATGTGAGTAGCCTGAGTTCAACTTATCTACAGACATAATGAAAGCAAAGCCTAGCCATGCAACTGCAGGGAATTCCAGTGTTCCTGACTGACACAGTAAGTATTTATATAGAAATCATATTGTCTGTCTTGAGTCTTCTGGACAATAGGAAAATAATTAAAAACAATTATTAAGCTTGTAGATGAAACACATGCATGTAAGGCTTGTAAATAAAATGTATCTCCACTGTTAAAAAAGATTGTTCAGTAACACTATGAACATGGATAATACAGTTTCATGATAAACAGCAAGGGTGTAGCAAAGAGAAAATGGGAAAGTTTAAAAAAAATCTGTAGATGTAGAGACTTTGATGAAGATATTATCAATATTTTTTGCTACTATGTGTAAATGTTAGTACTTATGAAGAAAATCTTTAATAAGTGAGAATAGAAGTGCTGGGAAGTCAATGTTTACTGTAAAAGTGTATCAGTACTCTAAGCAGGAACAGTAAAATAAAATGGTTAAAAAGTTTCATCTGTATTGCTGTGGCAAATAGTGCTTGATAAGATTCTTATTCAGATCGATCTCATTTGATAAAAATGTCTGCAAGACTACTGTAAGAATAGTGTATAACATCGTTATAGTGGATGACATGTAAGAATGTGACATCCGTGTGGAGTGTGGTAACTTCATACAGGCCAAGTGGAGGAAAATCCTCTGGTACTTTCTCTTTAGTGCAGTGCACTGCTACAATGACTGGGTCTCTAATGAATTTAAAGTGGGTAAATAAATGTTCACAAAAATCATCGTAAATGTGGGTTTTTTTTCTTTTCTGGAATTACTTTGAGGATTTTAGGTTAAAACAGATGCATAAAACAGGATATATTTCATATCATAACATATGGAATAGTTGCACAGAATGCATAAAAATGGATTTGTGAGTTAGCATATCCCTTCCATCTCTAAATCTTGCAGGATGTCCCTTAGCAATTTTGGAAGCCCCAGTACGGTGTAGTAAAGCTTATTTACGTTTGTAATATTTAAGTGCTAATGACTTACTGTAGGAAATTTCTGGCATACTATTATTTATCTTCTTACTCATTTCTCTTGTCATTGAAATATAGCATTGGTAGGGGAAAAATTAGATTTACCAAAAACCCCTTAAAAATAGCAGGAAGTGAAATAGTGTCAATTATGCTTTTTCCCTTAAGAATGCATAATCACAAATTAAGTAATTGTGACAGCAGCACACCAAAGTTGAGTGCATATGTTTGTATTTTGAGGATGAGTGCCTTATTTAAAAATTTTCATGCACAAAAAGTAGCATTTTAACTCAAATCTTTGGATATACTTCTGTAGGGTGTCTATATTGCCATAGAATGCTAGGTAAAATCCTGGCAGCTCGAAGAATAGCAATGCATAACCTTGGATGGTCATGGTCATAAATGCTGCTTTCAATATACTCTTTTTAAGACAGAAGTGACTTCAGAACTGCATCAATAGCTCACAGAGTCCCTAGCTAACAGACTTCGGCTGCACTTTGCAAATTGCTGAGAACTTACCTAAAACTTCTCCTTGAATCTTGCTAAAACCATGTATTTGTCAACAAAATGCTTTTCCTATGTCTGCTATAACTTTTGTTTGTTGCAACATATGTAAAATACACCGTATCTTCTGGAAATGTGCGGAAGATTTTCATGTTTATATTTAATTTTGCATGTGGGCAGAAGAACCAGTAAAATGCCATCTGCTTGTATTGCATTATGCTCTCTTGTGTATTTTCTGTTGAACTGCATTTGATAATTCCAGAATGTTCTGAATGCCGAGCGGGTGAGGAGGAGTAAAAAAGAGATGCTTTGTGCGGCATGCAGAGAAGGAAATTTCCAGATTCTTTTTCACCTCCTTGCCTTTTCTTATAGCGTGTGCAGTCTCTCTTCTCGGTCCCACTCCAGGCTCAAAGAGTGCTTTTAAAGTTTCCAGTACTGCTAAGCTGGAAAAAGTGAACTAACTGAAAAGTGGAGATTTAAGAGCTGCTCTTGTGAGAAAGTCTTGGGAACCAACACACGAAAACACGAGAGTGTTTCTGAGACCACTAGATGGTGCTGGTTCCTTTTTTATTTGTATCAAGCACGAAAATAAAATACAGGATCTTGTAGTCAGGGTAGTACGTCATGGGCATGTTTGAAATTTTTCAGAATAATTAAAGATTTGTATATTTATTTAATAAAGCACAGTTTTGAAGTTACATTATAAGACATGGGTGTTATATTTAAGATGATATCACTTTAATGTCAGACAATTGCATTCTTTTCACTATGCTTTGCATTTTTAAATTAAAATTATTGGAATGCTTATATTGGGATTTATTTTTCTTTTAAATTTACTGCTGTTTTGCTATTTAATTTTAATTGCTTCAGTTTTCTTCTTATAATTTGTTTTCATTTTTAAGTCCTCTTCTGTATTATCAATACTCTATGGATTGCAAAATGATCTCTGGTTTCATAATCTAGTATGTTTTCAGAGGATAGTCACAAAGAGATTCACTGTTGTAAAGCTCATCCAGCTTCCTTTGGGGAACTTGTGAAATTTTGGGTCAGGTAAAGATGAGACAAAGTGTTCCCTCAAATAATCCTAAATTAGCTAAGTCATCTAAGGATACGTGAAACAGAAGTAAAATCAGAAATTCCTTATTTTAGATACATTTTATGAAGGGTGTGCCCTCAAAGGAATTTTTTACTATAGAGATACAGAAAAGCTGCTCAGACCTGTAGCAAGTTAGATGGATCAGTGCCATTGCATGTGTAAGACTATGGAAAGACAATGTAATTTTTGCTGTCATAAGGATTACTTGGGTTACATTCTGTGAAAGAAACAGATGCTGATGGGAATTGCTTCGCATTTCTTTCCTGCATAGAGATCGCATGCTTTTTAATGTAGATGGCAGGCGTAAATTTGTTGAGAGTGGAATGGCTATAGTCATATAGCTTTGTTCTTAAAGATACTACATTTTCTTTATAAATTTCTTCATTAAAAATTTTTGGTCATAATTCCTTAAAGGAGACTAATTTAAATAATACTGGTAGTACTGTCCTAAGTTTTAATAGTTTTTTCTAACCTTGCTGATACATTAACAACAAAACTTAAAAAAAATGAAATAATAAAAAATTAACTTTTAAACATAGTGTTTTCATTCTGATGGATGATTTTAAGAGGCTGTTAGCTTTTCACAGAGTTCAGAGCAGTTGTAAAGTGGTTAAAGCATAGTAAGTACACTTTATCATTTAAAGAATGTTCTCTAACAGAAGTACCAAAGAGATTATGAACTGTTATTATTGCTTGATTAACAGGATCAAAAATTTGTGAACGTTATGCCCTGTATATGTGATGGGGTCAAAATACAGTAATTCTTTTTAAACCCTATACAGAAGTAATATTAATTTTTACATCAGAGAAATTTCAGAGTTTTCTTACTACTTGAGTAACAAGAGATTTTATTTCACTGTGTCTTAAATCTTGAATTTTCAGGTGGTCTGGAGTCACTGAAAAATCTCCAGCAATTAATTGTGGACCATAATCAGTTAATCAGCACAAAAGGTCTTTGTGAGGTACCTACTCTCATTCACCTAGACTGCTCTTTCAATCATCTCACACAAGTTGAAGGCATTGAGAATTGTGGCCTACTTCAAGTTCTGAAGTTGCAAGGCAATAATCTCCAGGAGGTAAAAGCTTTGAATTTAGTGGCTGTTGTGCATACATCTTTGCTAACAGTCATATTTTTCAGCATTCTGAGTATGTGCTCTTTGATTGGCGTGGGATGTTTCATGCTCTGGGGTAAGATTTTTTTTTCCCTTATCAGAGAGTGATTTTTCAAAGATACAAATGGCTAGCAGTTAATTGTTTTCTTACTCGCAAGGCCTTGACTCTCAGTGATTCTGGTTCCTCCTTCATTTATAGCATCTAGTTTTTTGGTTTGTATTATGTAGTTCTGATTTTGTTTAAAATCTAACAAACTATTATTTTTCCTTATAGGTCCTGTTATAATAGTAAGATAATTATATCAGTCTGGTAATAATTATACCATTTTCATTACATATAAGTAATTACTTCTTACTGTTACTTGTATGTAATGATAGTATCATTATTGTCCCCCTGATGATAATCATGCTTATTTAATGTGTGTTGATTCTCCAAAACTTGAAATTTGTGCTGCAGCATTTAAAATAGGAAAGTTGTTTGGCAACTCTATGCTTAATTGTATTTTCTAACAGTTATTCTCCTATGAATTCAAGAGATGAAAAGCATTTTCAATAAGCAGCAAATAACTGCATGAATAAGTGAGGCTGTGACTCTTGGGCTTTTGATTATTTATTTTTTTCTTTAATTTTTTATGTTGGCTATTCAGATGTGATAGAAAAAATGAAAAAGTATTTACCACCTGATATCTAGAGATTATGTGTGGCAACTGGTACATACTTAATAAGGAAATGATACATATATTCAAAATGTTGCTTGTATTTAGTAATGATTAATGAAAAGCATCTGGTAAGCATTCCATTGTTCTTTCTCTAATTTATATTAATCTTAAATAACCATCTCCTTTCTATTTAGCTTCCAAGACTGGAAAATCATGTTCTCTTAAGAGAACTATATTTGGATGACAATAGCATTTCTTCTCCGAGAATGCTTTCTTTGTATTGGTTGCCTCTATTGCAGATTCTTTTGCTGTCTCAAAATAGGTAAGTAAGAAATATTCTTCCACTTACAGAATTGATCCAGAGGAATTTACTAACATAACACTTGTCTGAAAAGTATAATTCTCAGTATGGTTCAAATTTCACTATCTTTTTGGGATATTCTTTAAAAATAAAAATATGTGGTTATTATGTAATTATATTGGCTACCTCTATCTAAGAAAATTTGGAACAGCATTAACTATGTAAATTAATTTTTTTCTTTTAGATGTTATGTGAAAATAATTCTTGAGCATTGTGGCATTATTAAAACCATGGTGGGTTTCTTTCTTTCTTTACCAATTGTTTCTAGAATATGTCTGTCAAACTTCATACTTCACAGCTAGCTTATTCAAAACAGACTTTGAAGACTATGTTAAGGGCAAGTACTAGAGTTAGAAAGGAAAAATAAGAATGTTTTTTATTTTACATAATAAAATAATACCCTCCAAAACAAGTATATTTGCTTTACTTTTTCACTCTTATGGTTCTGTTTAAAAGGTATAAAACCAAGAAGGATCAAGACAAGCAGCATAAAACTGTATCATGCATTCAAGTCCTCTGTCATTAGTTTTCTGTTTGTTTTCTAAGATAATCTATGCATCTTTAGCGGTAGAATGACCAGATATCCTGGATTAAAAATCTTTATGTTCCACACTCCCCTTTTTCTCAATTTAAATTCTGCTATAAATATATATATGTAACATTTATTAGAACTTGCAATATGTTAATAGGAAAATTAATTTTAAATTAATATCCATTATTTTTCTATTCTATGATCATTTTGTTCTAAATAAGACTGATCTCAGCTTAACAAACATAATACTACGTACCATATATAGAAATGCACTCTCAACTGATTACTTCACTCTCCTGTTAATGAATAGATGTTTTTAAATGGTGATTCATCTTCCATTTTTAGCTGCTTGCTTTGAGACTAATCATAGCCTAAAAGTGCCCGTTCATCTTCATTGACTAGAAAAAAAATCAAAACAACCACCTCATGTGTAGGTGTCGGCATCTGAACAGGAGAATCCCATCCTATGTGACATTTAGTTCAGCAGAGCCAATTGTGTCTGGGAGCCTGTGGGAAAAAGGATGTGTGAGACTGAGTCCTGTTATTATAAGCTATGTCCTTCATGGAAACTGAATATTATTTAAGTATATACAACCTATATTTTTATATAACTTTTCAGATTGTTTTCATAACATCTATAGTGAAGTACTATTCATGGAGACTCTTGGATGTAAATAAAATATCTACAGACTCTAATCTTCAAGTTCTTGCTCATGCTTCTAGGGTTTTGGATTTTTTGTTTCCTTAATAATTCTTCTGGAGTTTGGAGAAAGTGCTTCCTGCCTGTGATTAAGCAAGAACATTATATGTTAAGCATTAGATTTGAGTCACACTGCTTGATTTAATTCTTGTTCTTAGCTATTTTTTTTCTTTGTCCTGTTTAGCTTTTTTCGTGGAACACACAATAATGTGGCTCTATATTCTTGTAGTTTCCTCTTTTTCCTCCAGTGTTCTATCCTGTGTATAATAAAATGTTTGCAAAACTCCTTAAAGATCTCATATGCCTGTTAGGGACTTGTGAGGACAGTCTCATCTTGAATGCAGCCTCTGGATTTAGGTTGTGCTGGACTGGCCGTGTAGATGTCACTTGCTTAACCCATTGTCTTACAGTTTTTTATGTCCCTTATAGTGCTTGCTCTGGTTTTCCAGTAGCCAAGCAGAGATGCAGTGTTTGGTCTGCTGAGTTCCTTTTGCTGGGCTGTGAGAAAGGACATATTTTTGGATCAACAGGCTGGATGTACTAAAAATAAGTATACATTTTGCCCCCAAACAATTCCCCTTATTTCCATGATGTGTCTGTAGCTTACATCAAATCTTTCGGACAAACAGGACAAGATAGCCTTAAATTTATATTAAAAGCCTCAAAATTCCTGGCATTTCAGTAGCCTGCTCTGTTACACTCACTTTATGTACACTTATAAGCAGCTCCATATGTGTGTGCTATAGCATAAGTAACTCGATGTTCTATAGAAACAGTGAATGTAATGGAGTAAGCTGTTGAAAGAAAAGCTGTTTCTTTGCTTTTATCCTACAGCCAGTGCAATTTTGTGAATTTTTTCCAAGTGTTCACTGAGTGCCATTTCCTCTTTACTGACTGCAGGAAGCCAATATAATGATAATGCTATGAATCTGTATTCTTTCTGAAAGTGAGGTACTGTGAAAAGAAAATTCTTACACTAATTTACAAGACATTTTTATTCCTGAGATGCTTTGTCTGCATCATAAATCAGAAATTATCAAAGGTAAAACTCAAAAAAATATTTTTTTAAAAATTGTTTTAAACCTACAGTGTAACAAGGAAGTGAAACAGGTAGTGGTTAACTCCCTCAAATAGAAAAAGGACAGCTATTTCACCACTGCTGCTTTTATTAAGTGTTTTATTGTGGCTTTTACATACAAAGCATATTCTTGATTAATGCATGATCGACCAAAGACAATGATGAATTTCTTCTTGACTTGGTTTCTGCAGAGCTGGGACTATGAAGATCCATGCTCTATTTTGTAGCAGCTGAGGAGACAATTGTTAAGTTAGTTTTAAAAAGAGACATACTATTTTTTCTATTGTGGTGGATAGATTTAGGTGTAGGAGAAAGCAACCTTGTCCTTGTATAAGGTTAATAAATTTTTAATATGTGTTAAGAGTTCATGTAGCATTTACATTTACATGTAATCCCATTTAACTATGTAATTTATTAGTTAATATCTTTTTAAATTAAAAAGTTTTACAGTGAGATGCTAAATGTGCTGTTCAGGTAGACATTCTTTTTCAACTTCAAAATTGACAAAATCCCTCCTGAGATTTCTGTTTTAATGTGGTATTAATAAGACAAAGTTATTTTTTTTGCTGTCTTTTGCCTTTCAGTAAGATAACCTAAGTGAGATGGATAAAAATCTAATGCAGTCACCTGAAAAATTTCTTTTTTTATTTTGGGAAAATGGTTTGGCCACAATCAAATTTGTTGTGAACATATTGCTCCCATGTTTTTGCATCTAGATGAATTCCTAAAAGGCTTATATTGGAAGTGATAAAAAGTTGGTTAAGTTCTTTCTTAGCATGCATTGTTCTCTCAAATATATATATGGTATCTGTGTTTTAACTGAATTTCTCAGATGTGAGAGTTGAGTTCCTTGCAAGCCATGCTGTTTTGAGGATTTGACTGCTTTTCCAGAATTATTGTGACGAATCTAAATGTCATTGGATGTTGAAATAAGTCATTAATGAGAAAAGCTATACTGATATATAGTGCTTTTCTTCATCCTATCCTTACCACCCTAGATTTTTAAAATAATTTTTAGCAATTCTTTGCTGGTGATAAGTTTATCTCCAAGTATGTGGCATCATGGGTAATGTACTTGAAGTACTGCCTACTAGAGTATTTATGAAGTGGCTACCTGACTGATTTCCTGTATTCTGTGAATTTGCCACTTATAAATATGGTGGTTATTGCAAACTGAATTGTCTTTAATTTAAGGAATGGAAAAGAAATCTGGTCTTCACATGAAGATCTAGATTATGAGAAATTTATTTTAGTTATTTTGCCTTGCCTCCTGCTAATTGCTTAGTAACATCAATGCTATTTTTTCTGGGGAAAAGCAGTTGCATGGTAGGATTTAGACCATCTTGAGCAGTAACTGTTATTCATATTCAGAAACACAATCTTCATTTTCTCTGATACATACTTGCAACAATTCTTAAGTCTTGTTTTCTGATATAGTTAAAGAACATAAAGAACATAAACTCCATCTCTGACCTGTTCTGCTAGTGCCTTAAATGGGAGCAGAAAAAGGAAGCTATAGCTTTCTTTTTTGTGAATATCTTTTACTTTTGTGTCTTCTTTGTAATTTATATCTCTCTTATGCCCAGGGCTAATGTGACAAGGTCAAGTAGTATTAAGTTTTCAGTAATGTCCTTTGTCTTTCTGGTTTGAATTTTCTTAGGAAAAAAATTAACAAAGAATGTCGGTAAAGGGAAAGCTATAGAATGACAGAGAAATGTTTTAACTCTCATAATGCCAACGGCAGGCAAGGACAGTCCAGTGGGCAATTTCTAATTCACCACAGTATATGCTGATAAACATCCAGAGAACTCATGATATATAAAACCCCTGCGTTATCTTTTGTCCCTTATGCAAAATATTACTTTTTTTCTGTATATATATATATATATATATAGTCATGAATTTTCAGGTTTTTGCAGCCATAATACTAGCCAGTAATATCTATGATGATATTTTCTACAAATATTAAATATATTTATGTACTATTAACTGATAATGAGAAACTAAAATGCTGAAATTTGTAGTACTATATACACATATTCATATAAGGCTTAATGCTTTATAGAGTCAATACTTTTTCATAGTTTTTTGATTCCTTGGAAAACTTCCATAGCACGAAGAAAATAGATCTAAATAGGATTAGAACCAGGACAGCTTTACAATGTAGTTTGAGAAAGAAATGGAACTATAGTGGCATGTACTCAGTTGTCTTTATATCTCTTTCTCTGAATTTACTCTTAAAATGTTATGTTGTCATATAGAAATACTTCCCAACTGAATGTGGAAATTATTTTTTTTCTGCTTTAAATTTGGTTGTTTTTTTCAATAAGATTAAATAATCTACAACCAACATTTAGTCCATAATTAGTACACCAGAGTAAAATTCAGCTCTGCCTTTCCATTGTAAGGCCTGTGCTGGAAACACAGCAGTCATACATTTCAGCAACAAAGATGCATTTTTGTCTTTCAATAATTTTGAGTACATTTCATTTTTTTGTAATGTCATATTTCAGGCAAAAATAATTCTGATTTATACCTTTCAAGGGCACTACACCCTGAGAAAATACTACTTTCTGTGACTAGCATTTACAAACTGACCACATACAGTGCCATTTCTGTACCATTCTCTTGTAATGATAGGGCCTTGCCCCTACAGGGATGAAACATGTTACCTAAACATGTATTTCTTTAAAAAATGTATAGTTGGTGTACTATATGCTTAAACATTCTAGTTTTAGTTGACAATTGTGATTCTTTGTATCTTGATTTTTACCTTTTCCTGCCTCTCATATTTAACATAAAAAAAGATTAACTTTAAACTGAAAATATTAGGCAATAGCCTGGCAGCTGAACAAAACATTCAATATTCATTCTTACATCAATGGAAGTTTGTAAGCAAGGAAATAACACTGAGCCTCAGTCCTTTAGTAGTAGCAATAACACACATCTTACAGTCCCAATCCCATTTTGTTGAATGTCAGCTCAGTTTCTTTACATTTACTCTTTAATACTGCAGACAAGAATTTTGTTCTGTCTTTAGTACTGCTTTACTGCACTATTGCTCAAGAAAAGCTCTGATAATGCAAGAGGAGCCATTCCATAGCCAATTCCATAACTGTCTCAGTAATCAGCACCTATTTGATACAGTCTGACAGAAGTAGTAAGACAGATGAAGCATAAAAATATATTGCAGAGTAGTGCAGCCTTGACCTGTTGAAAAACACATCCATGACAACAGTTATGCTACTTTTAGGGTCTAGGAAGTAATGTGCTGATGGGAGAAGAGAAACAACCTGTTAAGAAGTTTGAGCAATGAGGAAAGACGACAGAGACCAAGAAAATTTTATTTTTTCTCCAGAATCAGGACCTTTTATTAGTACCATTCTAGTTATGGTGCCTAAAGGAAAGCCAGCTGAGTTGTGTAAATTTTATAGGACTTCAGATCTTCACCACAAAATGCAGGGAACAGAATTAAATATTTATCAGATAAAAAAACATTAATGAGAAAATATTAAAAACTGAGGTGCTGAGAAAACTAAGAAATACTTTCAAATTAAGATTTCAGTAATTAGTCCTAGCATCTTGGATAGATAAATGGGCGTTTACTTATATAAAATAGTAAATTTTCATACTTGCAAATGATTCTGGTGCCTTTCTGTTGAACCGCTGTTAAATTTTTAAAAAGTTCTTTTCTGTTTTGTTCTTAGATTAATTGACCTTGTGCCTTTAAATTCATTTGTGTTTCTGGAAAAGCTTGATATCAAAAATAACTGCTTGTCAGGTGAGTTGTGTTGAAAAAATAAAAGCCCCGTTCAAATAAGAATATCTTAGTTAAATTATAGACTGAACTGAATGGGATTATTCTCATGTATTTATAACAGATATTTATATGGAAAATATATAAATATTTTCCAAACACAAATGTTATAAATATTAATTAAAACTATACTGTATGGATAGCAGTCTTGCTTTTAAGACTGCGTGATGGTGGTACATTTTACTTTCTTGTAAGAGTTTTTGGGAAATAAAATGGTTCTGCATTTGGACATATTTAGGCTTCTTTCTGCTATATTACAGATCTTAAAGATGTCCATAGCTGGTTTAGTGGCTGTCATAAACTAAAGGAGTTGTCATTGAGTGGGAATCCTCTTCTCCAAGAAAAGAACTGGAGGTAAGCTAAATCAAAAATCAGAATCAGACAACAGATTGTTGTATATATCTTAGTTAAACAGTAGAAACACTCCCACATATAGTCTGAACAGTCTCACTGCTATGACAGGTTCACATTGCACATAGCTAGTGAAGGAGTAGTGTCTGTTAGAAGAAAAAGTCAGGATGAATGTTTAATTTTTCCTTAGTAGTTGAAAATGAGCCTTTTTTATTCTTCTTCAATTTCCTTATCTCTACATCAAAAATTAATAGGTCTTATAATTATGAAAGAGATGCAAGTGTAATGCTGTTATTTGCCCCTCAGTGGTGTATAATACTGGAATAATGATCTGAAAAATCAAAGACCTAGTCCTAGAGATTATGATATGTCCCTATATAAAAAATGAGTAGGGTAGAAAAGAAACTTGACATACAAAATTATATGCTGTTACCATCATTCCTGAAATAAGTATTTAAATGGGTTTGTTAACCATAGGAGTAAAATTCCAAATGAATAGGTTTTTTGTATGATTTTTTGCGTATTAGACATAGTACTTGAGGTATGGCCTCACACCTAGTGCTAAGCACAGGGGTATGATCACTACCCTAGTCCTGCTGGCCTCACTAGAATCTAAAAAAAACAAAATCACCCTTACATTACATTTATATCTTCCATTTGAAGATTTTTATACAAATTTAAGATTGTTGATCAAAAGAAAATACTCAACTATTTCTAACTTTTCGTTAGAAGTGTTTGAGTAGTTTAAAAGATAGCTTTGCAAGTACATTCTTGATTGATTTGTTTGATTTTTTTAATAAACAGACTTATTTGCACCTCATTATTCCTGCAGGTAATTTAATTCATAAAATTCTGTGACTGTGACAGAATGTTTTGAATTTCCATTTCCATTGTTTGAATTCCCACTATTTTACAAAACTGTTATTTCACTAGCAATCTGGAGGGAAAAGGTTTCTGAATTTCAATTTAACTATGAGAACTGACACTTTAGATTGCTAAACTAATAGAGTTTTTATGGTTAGACAAGAGATGAATTTTTCTAAAGGATTTAAAGTATGGGATGCTATGCAGTATGGATTTGGTGAATATAGCATTGACTGTAACTTCAGACAATATGTTCCAGTGAACTTTACATAACCCCTTGATACCAACAAAGGAATTAGTTGTAAAATTTCCCAATCAGTTTTGTACTTTCATGTCCAGCCAGCGATAACACCAACAAAAGTGAAGTAGTAAGAAATCTCTTTCTAAAAATTAAACCCTGGGATCAGTCTGACTACTCCTAGGGGAATATGTTTCAATGCTGAAATGATTAATAGAGCCTCTTAAGTGACAGAATATTCACCAGGAAGTTTTCACTAAATGAAATATTGACTCAGCCCTTCACCAGGAGGAACCCAGCTGGAAAAATGAGTGTCGAGAGCCCACAGCTCTAAGAGACAGAACTTCCATCATTGATCAACTTTGATATGTCACTGTTTTGGTGTATTGCTGTTCAACATCAACTTTGGTAATTTCTCTCTATGTGTTCAGGAATTGTTGATCTAAATCCATAATTTCATTCCAAATGTACTTCAGATGGTCTTAGCCTTCTGAATGGGCAGTAGAGAAGGAAAGTTTTCTACTTGCAAAAACTGATGTGCTATTCTTTTATTTGGAATATTATAACACGGTCATAAAAACTCTGATTTTCAACTTAGTGTATGTTGTTTGAAATGAGTAGTAGTCCTTTACCTTCACAGGGAATAATCAGGGAGCTCCAAAATTTTGAAAACAATACTCTTTCTTAATAATAAGGGGATTTACAGCATGCAATTAGTATTCTTTCAAGAGTTAGTGTTACTTAAAACTGAGTTAATGAAAATACTGAGAGTTGATATAATTTTGCAGTCTTCAAACTTTCAGCAAATTGTTCTGGTACAAGAAATATGTGAAACAAGATTGCAGTAGCAGCTTACATCTCTCAATAGCCTAAACAAAACTGCATGGATGGTACATTTTTTTTTAATGTTTTTTGGGGGTTTTTTGTGGTTTTTTCTCTTTGATTAGGTAAATTTCTCATACATATCTTTTCTTTTATCAGTGGCCATAGCTGTCCTTTTTATAGCAAGGAAATTTCATCTTTGCTCTCATTCTTTTCACTGACTTGATTTCAGTATTTCAAAAGTAGTTTTTTTTTTCTTGTCAGGCATACTGAATACTTGTCAGTCACTATATGGTATATGCAAATGATAAAGGGACTAGAATTGGCAAGGTTTAGTATTTTGTGCAGTTTAAAAATTTAAGTTTTTTAATGTGTCAACATAATCAGCTCTGTATCTTAATCCGATGTTTTATTTTGCTGTGTTGCCTACTAATCAAATGAATTACAGGTGCCAATGCACAAGTGTGTCTAATTTTCCCATTAAGGTTTGTGCAGGTAAAATTCTAGCTCTAGTGATTTGAGACTATTGCCATTGACTTTCTTGGTGTCAGTATTTCATCAGGGCTCTTTATACCATTAAGTATTAAGAAGTCTTGCTATGTTCTGTGTTTTATTCTTTATATTATTCTTTAGTTTAAGTATAAATTTTTAGTTAATATGTTAACATATGAAGTAAGGAGAAATGTATGCAAAAATTTAGAGAGCTGTCTTCATGTTCTGTATTGCAACACGATTGTATCAATAACATGGGTGTTTTAGCATAAGGATTTTTTCAAAAACTAATTATGATTTCTTTTTTCTTAAGATCTTCCATGTTGGAGATCCTTCCTAGTTTACAGTTGCTTAATGGTGAAGTCTTAATCCATCATACTTTACCCACACCTGAAAAAATCAAAGCATCAGAATTAGGAACTTTTCTGGAACTTTGTCAAGTTCAAATTGCGGAAACTATTCAACTGAAAAAAAAGGCTGCTGAATTGGAGTACGTATTTATGTGAATATAAATTGTATTCAGAAATATTTTTTTCCGTTTTGTTACTGAAGTTCTGGTTGGCATATGAATTTTACTTAGGGTTTTTTGCCTGGAAATATATTAGGATAAGAAAGAGATTAGAATCATTGACTTCAGAACAAAGTCTGTTTTAGACAGATATGAAGTTATGAGTGCCTTGAGTTTTGTTTCTTTAAGTTTGAGAAAACAAGTGGTTCAAAAACCTGCAATTAGAAGTAGTTAAATGAATTTATGCACACAACATAGTATAGTGCTGTGCAGGAATTGTAGTTTAAATCCTGAAAGTTGTATAATCATATTAACAACATATAAACATATTAACATGATTTCCAACTTTAACTTAATCAACTCTAATTTGGCTCTGATTTGGTACAATATGCTCTATTTGCATTTCTACATTTGTTTTCCATGTGTAAGTTGTTCACATTCTAAATAATTGAAAAGGTTTGACCTCTTTTCTCTTAAGGTAGTGAGTTAGATGAATCTGTGTACAGGTCTTTAATTTTGTCATACTTGCTACCTCTATCACTGTTACCATGGTTAGTTGTCTAGTAGCTTCAGCTTAGATCATGCAAGTGGTTATTTATCACTTACACATACTATGTTTTAATTGTTTTAAAGTATCTAAATATCTCCAACTTCTCATTTCTGCACTTAGTAATACTGCATGTTTTTTTCTTGCATAGTTCTTTTTAATTTCCTAGCAGGTTTGGAAAATTATTATAGTCCTTTGAATATCCAACTAATGTTTTAATTTTTGGAAAACTGTTTTTCTTGATTCTACCAGGTACTGAACATTACCCCAGAGCAGGTGAAGCATGTAATGTTTTACATTATTTTAGTTTGAAGTTTGCCTTTCATACTTTGTTGGTTCAGGAAAAGCATGCACTTTTTTTTCAGAATCTGGCTATTTTGTGTTTCCATGTAAGCCTGTATATCCTTGGTATCTTGTTACTAGCTAGCAGTTTATTACATTGTTGTATTATTGCAGTTTTTACTAAGTTGCAATAAAATCTTCATAGCTCAGAATCAGATTCACTTGAAAAGAGGTTTGTATTAAGAATTAGATTGAAATTAGTTGGGAGAAATTATATAGTGCATTTTTCTATGACAGATGTAATGTGTAAGTGGCTTCTAAGAGTCATACGTTTCTCCATTACACCATCAAGATATGTCTTCTCCACTTTTGTGATTTTTGGCTTCTGGCTTGCAGGTGGGAAGCTGCTATTTCCTAATCTGTTTACCATCCTGAAATGGTATTCTCACCTTTCTTTTCCATAAAGCAAAATAAAGCTCTCCTTTTCCATGATTGAGAAAATTCTCCATGTCTGATATTTAGATATTTCATCATTATTCTTTTGCAGAAAAAGAGCTGGTTCATAATTAGGATATGACTCATGAGCAAACTGTAGCAGAATCTAGAGACCTAACTTTCATATACATTCCTTCAGGATGGTAAAAAATGAGAGGAAAATATGACATTCCTAAAATTTAGGGGGTTTTAATTCTGTATGAATGGACAGAAGAAAGATAAATAAGAAATTTGTTGTTGGGTCATCAGGGTCAGACCATCCATTAATTATGAGGGCTATGTGGCTCACACTACTTTCTGGAAGCTGACTTGTACTTCTAACGTCTTTTATCAAAGACTGGGAGTGAGACAGAGTGCAGGCTTACTGTGCTTGCAGACCACAAGTATTCAAAGGCAGTTGTTGAGGGGAGGGCTACCAATCAGACCACAGGCAAGATGGGAGGACAGGTCACCAGGAGCCTTGTAGATTCAATAAGGACAAGTGCAAAGTCCTTTATCTAGGAAGGAGGTAAAGACAGGAGGCCTTCTGGCCACTCCCAGGCTACTTGCTGAGTGGAAGAGAGGAGGCCTTGGCTCTGTCCAAGCACTGTTCAGCAAAACATTAGTGTTTGATTGATATAGTTTCGGTCTAAATCACGGCATTAAATGGGAAACTGTAGTGAGAGTTAATTCATTCCAGCCAGAGGTAGTACAACTGGACATAAGGAGAAACCTTTTTAGTGTGGGACAGTGATGAATTGCAATAGGCTGCCTGGCGTAGTTGTGCAGTCTTGTTTGTGGAGATTTGCAAGACCTGACTGGATGAAAACCTGAGCAAACTGGTCTGATTTGAGAGCTAACCCAGCTTTGAAGCAGAAGGTTGGACCAGAGACCTCCTGAGGTTCCTTCAGTTGAGAATTTTATTATGTAAATTTTGAAAGATAAATGTTTGAAAGAGGCTGCAGATGTTTCAGAACAGTAGTGGAAAGAGGTGATTATGTAAACATCTCTTTACTGAATGTCTGGTTTGGGTGGAGGGAAGGTGGGGAATGCAGAGGAGGGAGGGTTGTGGAGTTTTTAAGCTTTTGAGAATTCATTCATGATTTTTTAAATCAGTAACCATGGCATGTATCAAATTTGGTCTTAAAATTAATTTCTTGTGTGTTAAAGCCATCTATCTTTTATTTTGACTGAAGTAAAATTTATGGATGACTTGAAAACCATTGCAAACTGCAGTTCATAAAAGGAACTCTAAACAACTTGTTTGTATATAAGCCTTAACAGCATAGCTATTATATGTACATATTGCAATACTTTGACTGAATTAATGTGACATTGCTAAACAACAGGCCAACAATAGATCAAGCTTCTATCTGTTTCTCATGTTGCTAAGTTATGAGCCCCTGTAGGTGTGACCTCAAGTATGTAAGCTGCCAAAAGTAATCACTGCTTGCTTCCCTAATCTGTTTCATACACCACTGCTGCCCAGTTAAATTCTGTGCTGTTTCTTCATGAAACTTCTCTGTTGTTGCCATGTTTAAGAATAAAAATTACTTTGCAATTGAATTTATTGATTATACAAAATATTTTCTGTCACATAACCTCTAGATGACTTGTAATAAGTAATCATGTAAAAAAATAATATGATACCTGTGCTGCAGCAATTTGTTTTCAGCCATCAAATGTGCAGTTTTCTGGCTAGTGGAACTTGAACTTTACAAATACTGTATCTATATTCCAGTGAAAATGATAGGAATTTCATAAATGGTGTTGCAAGGAGAGACTATGCCAACAGTGACCTATTTCATGTTTGTAAGGAACTTTGGTAAAGTGCAGTTGAACACCAATAATGATGCTTATTGAAGTTTCTCTGAAGACGTTAGATTTTACCCCACACTACTGCAAACAAAAGCTCACATAAATGGAGGTTCACTATTTGAATATTCCATGTATTATAATTATGAAAGTCAGAGAAGGGAAAAACATAATACTAAGCGAGGTTTTAACTAGCAAACACTAGCATATGAAGGGGCAGAATACTATGATTTAACTGCAAGGACCAGGAGAAAACTGCCATCCATGATCAGGACCAGGAGACAACTGCCATCAATGATCAGAACGGGCTTGTTTTTTCCAAGCCTGTCCCTTTTGCCTCTTAGGCATTTGCTCTGCTGACTTTTCCAGATTTACTGGCTCATTCTGACAAAATTATGCTCTTTGAATAACCAGGCAGCCATTGCAGGTGTGATTGCAGTAGAAAATTCTATACAAAATGTGTTAGCTCTATAAGCAAGCCTCTGCCACCTCTTTAAATTTCTTAAGTTTTCGTTGATTTGAACTCCACTGGAAAACCTTTAAACATGAATAATCTGTCATTTTCTATATCTGTTAAGTCAACCTGTGCATGGATCCTTAGGCTTCCTAGGTGCTGCCAGTGGGGTTTATTCCTCCTCCCTCTACTCCTCCATTGCATGGGAATTGAGCAGGTTTTGGTCTAAATTAACCAGGACAGTCATGGATACTCTTTGTGAATTGATGTGAGGACTGAAGTTGTAACAGTCCTTAATAAATGCCTGACTTAAATTTCCAAATAGATTAAAATCTAATTCTAATGCTTTTATCTTTCCTCAAAGTCCCTGGAAAATGCTGGCACAAATAGAGAGGTATCTGGTAACAACAACAAAAACCAAAAACAAAACAAAAAACCAAATCAAAACAACCTACAAGCAGCTTTTTGCTCTTAGCATTTTTTTTGTAAAAATAGTATCTTGGTCTTTAGTATCAGGGCTGCTAGTTTAGCATATTTGTGCAGTACTGCAAGACTCATCCCTTGTTCTTCTGGCTTCTTACCCCTTTCTCCCACGGCAAAAGCAGTGGTTATGCTTTGTGGTTATGCTAAAATTTGCATATGGCATAAATCACTTTCATTTGTTATGATCAAAATAAAGCTGTGGGTAGCCTGGCAGCAACTGAGCATGAAGGAATGTGCTGGTCAAAGCTGAAAGCCATAAAAAATTTGCTGTTGCAAGGCCACCATATTTATATTTCATTGAATACTAAGCAGCCAGACACTATGGATACTGGTGTTTCCATAGGATAATTTCATTTCTTGTTTTGTCTCAATGCTAGTTTATACTTAAAATCTTGGTCAGATCTTAACCAAGAAGCAATTCCAGGTTGAGTGTGACAAATAACACTGCAAAAGTTCTGAAAGGCGATGAATTTCCATTAATTGAAAAGTAAATATTGTGGTATCAAAAGTCTTTATATTGTCATAATTTTTACTGTGTCTTCTCTCTTTCCTTGTATGTTTTTTGGTTTGGTTTGGTTTTTTTTTTATCATTAAAGAAGTAAACCAGTCCTGCCTATTTTCCATTACAGCAATTTCCTTTCTGTGGTTTGAATAAGCAATCTTCAGGAGCACATCTCTGGTATCAAGAGTGCAGTGCTACTGAGACACTGAGAAAGTTGCAGTGTGTTGATAGGATGCCTGAAATCCCTGTTCACTGAAGGGAAGCACCAAGCTGGCTGCCACGTTAGTACTAGATCCCATTGTGACCTTTGGTGTCTGTGCACTGGAGAGCCTCAGACATACTCTGCCACTTCATAGTCTCTGATATCACTTCAGCTTCCTTTGTAGTTTCTTTAAATTTAGGCTACTGTGACTGCCTAAATCAAAAACTTGTTGGTACAGAGGGCAGCATAAAAATCCTGCAAAATCAAAGTATAATCGTGAATTGCCAGGGAAGGTATGGGAGAGAGTGCATGTCCACAATGACAAGATGATATTTTGCAGCCACTGCTTGGAAAAACTGCCCAAAAGCCAGCCTTTATAAAAAAAAAACCGAGCACACATTCCCTGATGACCACAAAATTATTCCCTGCCTGAATTTTAGCTTCCTCAATCTCCCTTTCCATTTCTGCTTGACTTATTCATAGCCGCTGGAAGGGTGAAATAACTGCTTGAGATACCCCTGCACCTGTCAAAGGAGAGGATTCACTGTTATGGTGGTTAGTTTTTCTTTCTTATGGTGGTTAGTTTTTCTTTCTTTCTGTTTTTTTTTACCATGAGCAAGGATACTTAGGATATGGTTTTCACAAGTAATTTTTTTTGTTCAATATAGAAAGTATTCTGGGGTTTTCTGCAATATTTTAATTTTTATAAACAAATAAACCAACAAAATAAAGCAAAGAAAAGGAAAACAATTTTTCCTTCTTTTTTTTTTTTGTCTTCTCACCATATTATTGTATGTAGAAATTCGGTAATGATCTTGTACCAGATTTATATTTTTTATATACTTTAATATTAACATAATTCTATATATTTAACTAAAGAATTTAAGTAATGCTTTAAGTAGTTTATGTTAAAGAAATTGTTATTCTTACTATGTAGTGTGTTAGATCCTTAAGCAAATACACAGATTGGTTCAAATATTTTTAGAGCTTGTCATATGTATGGAATTAACAGGAGTAGGAATAATGTTTTGTAGTGGACAGTCAAATGTACAGCTATTGCACAATGAGTTAAATTGTGTGGATCAATTTACCCATTCAGATTTTGTCCAATAGCACTGAAGTTGCATTAGCAGAGGAAGAGTTGGAATCCTTTTTACTCTTCTAGGGTCTGATTGATTATGTTCTTGAAAATCTAAATTGTTCTTAGTTGAACTTCACTGAGAATATAATTATAATGGTAAAGAGGCCCCAGTAAAACCTTTTAAAATTTTTACCTTTCCAGAATGATGAACAGGAAGGAAATTTCTGTTATTCTAACTATAATTTTAGGACCTAATTTTTCCAGACTAACAAGAAAATTTGTCTTATTTCTACTTTTTCTCTTGGATTGCTGACCTAGAATTGACTTTTTACTCCTTTGGAATTAGCACCAGATTACAGATCTCTGCATTTATCTGTACTATTAAAGAAGAATGTTTTCATGATTCCAGAACTACCTGCTACCTAATAAAATGAACAAACACCATTCAAAGTACAGACATCTGTCTGAATCTGTAACAATTAGTTCATATTTACTCATACTTAACCTCATCATTTAGATAGTGTAACACAAAGAACTAATGAGAGCCAGACTTCATAGATTACAATTGCTTCAGTCTAGCATTTGCCTTATATTGATAAAAAGATCTGTACTTGAAAGTTTGTTATCCTGAATTTTCTTTAGATATTGTAGTATATTGGTTTATTGTAGTATATATAAGTTTGGGTTTTGTTGCTGTGTTATCTAAATTTTAAAATTACTGTTATTTTTATATGAATTTTCATAGTTGCCAGTTAAGATTGATTAAGGCAAAATTGCCTCAAACCCTCTAAAAATTTGGGCTTCACATGCCACTAACCACACAGAAAGTTAATAGTGAAATGTATGCTGTAATGGCTATTTTAAAAGGACTGAAAACTTTCTCTTTTAGAAAGACTCAGAGTAAAATAAAAAATCCGTGTGATTGTATTTTAAATATGTCCAAAGAAAGACAAAAGCTATTAAAATTTATAATTACTGAAACTGGATTTCCAATCGGAGTAATTGCTATTTGTTGTAAGAATATGGAAACATGTAAAAATACTTGAAAATGCAAGCTATTTTTAGAAAATAATAGAGATATTTTTTTCTTTTTAAAGCATTCTAACAGACATGTCAACATTTTTTTATTTTTACTTTTTTTCCAGAATTGCTTCTTCTATTGATTCTGCACTGAGACAATGCTGGTATTTTAATCAGTTGATGAAACTTAGTATTAAACATCGATATGTACATGAGTATGGTGAACTGAACATTACTGACAGAGATGGACCAGAAGCACTTCAAAATCATTTAAAACAAACATCCACTGGCTCCCTACAGGAAAATAACCTCTTTATCATGGGTGTGACAGAAAATAAACAGGTCTTGTTGGATCCTTCCAAAAGATGGATTACTACTGGTGATATTCAGGCCACATTCATTAACTCCTCCATACCTGTGCATCAGAAGGAAAATAGAGGAGATCAGAGAGTGAAGCAGGAGAGCACTGAATCTTGTATTAATTACAGTGGGGAGAGCAAAGGCAACAATAACATGTCAAGCCAACTCACATTGCAAAAGTCAGTGATAGTAGCAAGTGATATGGGAAGAAATCTCCAGCACTTTGGTGATGATACAGAAAGGTGAGATGGATGTCATGTTGCTTTCAAGTTGATTATATAGATAGATAATAGGAGTGAGGATTTTTTGTTTAAAACAGAGGCACAGAACTTGTAAGATAATATTTTTATTAGACAAGAAAGAGTTATATTCAAGTGTTGCACACTATTTTTGTATATTAACAATTAAGAATCCTTTGTGGTATTCTTCCAGTCGGTATATTAGGATATAGATATTTACATACTTCAAATAAGGTTAAGATACCAATTTAATGACACATGCAGAGTTAGGAATACAAATGCCAAATGTTTTGCAGAAAGTTTGGAGGAGATCAACTAGAAACTAGTATAAGGTTTTTTTGCCAGAATTATTAATTAGGCATTCAAGATTCATCTGTGTAAACTTTACAGTCAGTACCATTTAGAAAGCAAGAGGGAAAATTGCTTAAATCTACAATCCTAATCCCTTGATTTAGGCCAGTCTTCTGCTGTTGTGATGACTGAAGAGCTAATGGCCTGCCCTGCTTTTGGTACTCCTCCAAAATGCCTTAACCTGCTTCTTAAAATTAGAGGCAGGGGTGAGAGAACAGTTCAATTTATGTGTCCCCAGATTTTCTCCTGCATGAAAAAGGCTGGTTTATTACCTCTTTGAAATGTGTTTGCTGCTGATTTGTATGGTTCTGGATGTACATATGAGGAAAACAGAAGCTGACTTTTTTTGCAGTAAATCCTCAAGAATTGAGTTAAAATTTCATAAGAATTCAGTTTCAAAAACAGATGTATTGAGAACAGTATGAAAAGCAAGCATGGTGGGTGTGCTTCTTTGAGCTGTTTAGGTTTATGGTAAGTAGGAAAGTAGGTACTTAAGACACTAATAATTTTTCATAAAAATTATGATTAAGGAAGACCATGCATCAGCAAGCTGAGAGCAAGAATACATTAGTCTATTGCATGAGATGAATATTTCAAAATTTTTTCTGAAATGGTTCCTTTAGTCTTTCATTAATGTTTTGAACTAATTCTGTAAATGTGATTTTGGAAAGTTCTCTTCAAAACAGAATGCAAACCATTTTTTGTATTTGTCTTGACCTCTGAAGTGTGATTATTTTTTTATTTTTTGCTGACTAGTAGTCCTCTATTTAAATAGATGCACTACACAAGGAAAGGAATTATGTAGAGATTGGAAATTTAGATGTCTTTTCTTTAATACACTGTACAATTGAAATGAGTATTTTGTGGAGAAAAGAATTCCAAGATAATAAATATAGTAAAGTCACAATGCAAAGCTGACATTATACTTTTTCTCCGTCAGTATGAATTATTTGAACATATATTTAGAAATATGAGTCACTGAACAGATCTAAATATTCTGTACTTAATGCTTCTTAAAAAATGAGCAAGTTAGAAAATGTACTCATATAACCAGTGGTCAGAAGTCTTAAAGTCTAAAGAAGTCTTAAACTCAGGCACAAGATGAAGTTGCACTTACTGTGTTTTTCCTGTCTGCTCCATTAAAAATACCTGTCTCATGTTTTCAGTACTTATTCCTCTTTAGTACTTGGTATTTGTTTTTTGGTAGGTTTTTTTTAAATTTGTTTTTGTTTATTTATTTGTTTGTTGTTTATTTGTATGTTTATTCAGTACTTATTCAATGACTTTATTCAGTCATTGTCACACCATTTCTGCTCCTAATCCTTCCTCTGAGGACTTTTCCTCTGCTGAGATTATTTGCAGAATAGAGCCCAGTGGAGATGAGTCCTTAGATAATTGGATTCAGAAGTTAAATGATGTGAATATCCTCCAGCGTTTCTGAACATATATGTCATATCTGGATTGTAATTTCTTGTTTAGTGGCACAACTTTACATTTTTCTCAAAGCACAGTCCTATATTTTATGGTTGAAGTTTGGCAGATATGGTGATTCAGTTGTTTTGGTGAGGATATGTGAGTCATAAATGTATTTATTTCTCCATGAGACTACATACAGCAGCATCCTTGATCCAGTCCTTTTGGCGGCAGTACCATGCTCAGAGGAAAAATGATTGCAGTAGAACAGAAAATCATCAGTTTGTAGGAGCTTTGAGACAGAAGCATGAAGCTGCCACAGTAATCCAGGTTGGTTGATGATATTTTCTTATTTTGTAAGTTTAATAACAAAAAAAATCTTTCTAGTTTTCTGTAATTGTCATCTTAATCAATTTTTGCTTATTATCATTTTAAGTTTCATAATTAAACATTTTTGTTTTATTTAATCAGCATAAACTTCTTGTTTCTTAAACAGATACTTCTTTACAAAAAAAAGCATTATAGAATATAATACATATATTTTTTATACATAAAAATATTTTCCCTTTTTCACCAAATATTTCTCAGAATTATTTTTACTTGATTTAATTCTAACATTATGCTTAAGAGATACTGTGCCCATGTTCTTACTGGGGCCTGTCTGTGCTATGAAACTGATGGATGCTGTGTAACTAATCTGTTGTGTCAGATATCTATGTGACTAAATAATCTTCCTGTCTCTTCTATTCTACCTTTCCATTTCTTTCCTTCTCTTCCCATCTCCAAAACCCAGGATTGCTTTATCCATATTGTCCTTGGGAACAGACCATGGCCTAGGCTGTCCTATGGTAGGTACTGAGCTAATAACAGTTGAACAGAATGGATTACCACGGGCAGGAGTTGAAGTCCATATCTTGACTCTGTTTAGTTTGGTAACCAGCATTTGCCTGCCAAGTTGACAAGGTTCATGGGGGTATTTTTTACATTTTGAAGCAAGTCAGTGCTGTCAATTTCATATTTTTTTTATATTTTCAAGTTTACTTGGAAACATTCCATAAAGTCTTATACACAAATTTCAAAAATGACAAAGTGATTTAGAAGTAAAAATTTCTTTTTGGAGTATAATGTGGAGCTAGCATATTAACAATTGATTTCCATAAACTTATTTAATCCATTTTTGGACTTAGTTATTTAACCTGTACTGTATATTAAAGTGATGCTTTTAACAAATCTATATAGTGATTAATATGTGCTTCCTTTCATTTGTTTCAAACATGGTAACTCCCAAAATGAGTATGAAAATAAAAGTAATTTATTATTTATCTTCTTTGCATATTACATATACTTAGATCTCTCATACACCCATCCTTACAACCACTTTTTGTAAATAAAATTTTAGTCTGTTTGGTCTCTTTTCACATTTCTCTGTAATTCTCTTTATCTTTTTGTTCCTCTCTGAACCTTTGCCATAATCTGTTAAAATCTTTTTTAAAGAAGCAACAAAATTCCATAGGCAGATTTAGAATGAATTAGTACAGTAAGAAAGTTTTTATTTTATTTCTTAAAAACTACTACATGTAATTTTTCTTTTTGATCATGACTGAGCCCAGACCTGGTGCTTTCATAGGTTTCTATTAGCAGCAGGCTCAAAATTTAGGCTTCTGCATATATCGTTAGGATTGGTTTTCTCCTTTAAATCTGTCAAAACTAATTGTCTTTCTTGAATGAAATATATTTGTCATTTGATCACTCATTAATATCAGGATATTTTATCTTGATGCTTATGAAGGCCTGTGGAAAAATAACAACAATGAAGTTATAAGAAAGCAACCCTAAAGCATTTAATCATTTTGTAATAATGGGGAAATATGTGTGTAAAATAGTAACATTTTCAATAATTTATGTGATTAGAAAAACTTTTTCTAAAAATTAATAATCTAAATGTTATGCCAGAATATGAGATTTACCCTTCCTGTTTTAGTGCTTTCATTGCAGAGCCGTTAAAGGTGTACACCGCCACTTCTTTTATGACAGTGAGAATATTTTGCATGGTGTTTGACACACTTGGGCATCTTGAATTCTAATGATGTCAAATACTGATTTGGGGGGAAGTTGCTGTGTTGTATGTAGTTTTCTTAATTTCATCTAATTCATTTTGATCTCTGAAGTGTTTTTTCTGGACATGATTCTATTCTTGGCATATCTTTCTGACACCCTTTCAAGTTTTCTAGCACTTTAATTTTAATGTGTTTATTTTTCTTAGAGATGATTATGCTTACTGGTAATATTTTTTTTTAAATAAAGATCTTAGACAGTTAAGAAAGAGTTATTGACCTAGGTGAAATACGAGAGATGTTTCCAAGAATTGCTACTTGTAAACCTGAAGACATTTAGTACATCTGTATTTTTATTCTCAGTAGTTTGAAAGTTGGCACTCAGGGTTTCCCTATGTAGCCTTTCCTTTCAGTTTAAAATAGTCCCTGGAGGAATTGTCAAATAATTAATTAGTTGACCTAGGTTTGTAGTTGAGGGAGTTGCAGGATTCCTTTCTGCTTACTTGTGGAGAGCCTCTTGAGTACTCTATGCTTTAGACATATGCTGGCATTTAATTTGTCTTGTAGTTTTAAATGTCACATAAAGTTCAAAAAACAGATCATTGAGCTATTAAACAAAGGCCCAAGATGTTTTATCTTCCTAATGGGATAACTTAGAGAATCTGGATTTGGGCTTGATCTATGGCTATATATAACATGCTTTAAATTTTTTGTTTAGGCATTTTGGAAGGGTTTTCTTTTGCGAAAGAAACTGGCCAGTGCTCTTGCAGATGTTAAAAGTGATGAAGTGGAAGATGAATACGAAGAAATAAATGTGGATGCTTTCACGCTTTCTGAAGTAAGCACAGTAATTAGCATAAAGTCTTCACTATTCTTCATAAGCTATCATGAAGGTGTTGGAAATAAGAAAAATAGAAAGCACTACCAAGGATTAATGTGTTGGATGTCCAGAAATAAAGATGCATTTCTTATTTATAGCTGATTTAAATGTATTTTTCTTGGATTCCTGCTATTTGAGATGCTCTGGTACTTACTGTTCTATTAATGTCACACCCACTGTAGAATGCCATATATTTTTACAGCTAAAGGGCAATCAAATGAGAGTAAGGAAACAGTTTCTTTTAGTCCAAATATTTATCTTTTTAGTATTTTAATAACAAATTATAATTTCAGTAATATTTTAATGTGTATTTTGTTCATTTTCATGGTAGAATGAGACCAATTTAGAAAATACTGCAACACTGAATGTCAGCTATATTCCAGTAAAAATAACATATCCCCAAAGCAAAAAGTGAAGCAGGTTTATTCTCTTATGTGTAGTGTGCTAAAAAGATCAGAAGTTTAAATACAGTAGTAAATTATGAAGAGGAGTACGCTTAAATCAGAAAAAAATAAAACCCACACTTAGCAACTCTGTTATGCCCAATAACCAGAAATTACTGCTTATTTTTACAAGTTATATAGAGTTAGAAATACTCTTTCAGTTTCAAAAGGGTTGAAATTGGATGAGAAGCTCCCATTCTAAGAAATAAAAGTGGCTCCAGAGGAATATGGGGAATAACATGACATTCAAAACTGAATTTAGCTATATGTAGGTAAAAAAATAAAAAATGTCTATGGGATCAATATTGTTATTCAGTAAACAAGAAAAAGAATCTTTAAAGAATTTTTTTCTTTATAGTCTCAAAAGATAATCTATATGGGAAGTCCTAGACCTAGTATGCATATTAAATAGTAGTAATTGATGAGTCACCTATGTACTTGTCTGGACGACTCTTTCTCTAATTGTTCACATTCATTGGCTGATTTTCTTTTTTTTAATTTTTTATTAATCCTTTCAGGTAAAGCAAAAAAAAAAACTAACAGCACTGTAGCCTTTTGAGACCTAAGAGGATATAACTAAGATTGTTTTCATGAACCCTTGTCTCTGAATGTGCTTATTCAGCTGCTGTGTCTTTACAAGAGCCATTTATCAATATTCCACTGTAATGTTACAAAGGAGATTGATGCAATAGCCCTGCTACTGGCAGGACTTAGTCCCATTTATAAGTAGGTGTTTGTGTGGATCATGGAGTTATGAAAGCAAGTATGCTGTTGGTTGGTGTGGTGTAGTTTACAGTTGATCAGCTCATCTGATACCAGGCTTATTTTTCCAAGTCCTCCTCAAAGAAAATAGTTGGGCTTTCTTTGAAATTATTACCAATGAGTTGATGACTTAGGGTAATTTTATTTTTTTCTTCTCCTTTTTAGCAACTATTTTAAGGTATATTTTCAGAATTACTGCTTTATTTAAGAGCAAGCAAAAGGTTTGAGGCAGAAGTTCCAAGAATCATTTGGTAGACAGGAAATGTGTGTGTGTAAACATAGAGATCTGGATTAAATTTTAGGATTTTTTTCATTTTAATTTGAAATACATATACAAAACAGTTCCATTAGTTGATGTTCTCTGATCCCTGGCTTCTTTCTAAAATAATAAAAAGCAGAACATTGAAGGTTTTATTTCTTCACACAGGAAGGAAGTGTCTGTTCGTATATTAAAGAAGGAAAATACCCTGTCTTGAACTAGTCAGCCAGTAGGCCGGAGTTTTACACACAATAATTCAGTTGAACCATTCTTGTTTCTCTCTGTCTGGCCCAAATAACCCTGTCATGTTTGGTTTTGGGGATTTTTAATTGCTTAACTGAAAACTACGCAGACAATTTTGTTCCATCTTTCTGTCAACAAGACAATGATGTTTGAGCAGGTGTTCCTGAGGCCCGGGAGAAAAGGAAGGGATGGAGAAGGCGGGAGAAAGAAGCCCAGCTGATTTCAGAGAGATTTGTAGTGTATCACCTTCTGGTGTTTCCACACAATCTTTATTTTTTTTTTCTTTTTTATTTCTTTTTCACAAATTATTAATGAGTTTATCAGGAATGAAGTAAAACATGGATTTTGGGAAAAATTCCCAGGAAGTGTTTCGGTTCAGATGATGACAGGTGAACCACGAGCTGACATTTTTAATTTGCACAGCAGGCTCAAAGGCTGAACTGTGAACTGATGTCAAATAAGTTACTCAAGCCCATAACTTCTCGTGATGAAAAATACAACATCTGTTTTCTACAGAGCAGTGTATATGATAAATTTATAGTTTATATGTCTGTGAAGGATATTTTTTTTCAGTAAATGAATATTTCAATGTTTAACGTTGATGACTGTAACTAGAATGATAACCTGCAATATTTGTCTTTTTTTTTTCAAGTATATATATTGTCCATGCTGTTGATTTTGAGAAATGTGTGGCATAACTATACTAGGCATACACTCTGCTCTGTCTAGCCCAGACTAGCTACTCACTACTAGGCTGTCTGTTTCCATATGTCTGTAGCTGTTTCTTTCTCTGCAGTTGGTAATACCAAATCATGTGGACTTCCTACTCCTGGAGAAACAAGCATCAGAAACTTGGAACAGTCTATACTTCCTATTCCTTCTTTTCTGGTCTCAGTGTTTTATAGCAAAGTGCTGAAGCAGAGCCAAATAATGACACATGGTATCAGTGGCTATCTGTTGTGTCTCAAGCAAGTGTGTAGGGAGGAGTACATATTGCTCGGCTAAGAGATCCCATATGCTAGGGTTTCAAGGAAGAGGAAAATATTTGGATACAATTTTGTAATGCAGATTTCAGTATTTTGTTGTATAGGGTGAGTGAAATGAGAGAGAAGGGAAGAAAAACCTTTCCTTATTGGAACCTGATACAAATGTCTTAAATCTTGTCTAAAAGCTTTTTGAATAGTTCACTATTTTGTGTTGTGGTGGTTTTTTTTCTTTCTTATATATACTGTTATGTAGGTTTGAGTCATTATGATTTTATTTGGTGTTATCTAACATTCTACAAAATCACTACTGTGCAAGCACCTATCTCAACCATTTGTAAATATCACTATGCAGTAAGTCATTAGGCATCAGTCTTAACAAAAAAATGTTTTATATCTTCATTATAAACTCTGTGTACCCAGTGTTCCATGAAAGGTGAGGCTTGAAACAGCATAGGGGGGGAAACACTAGTCTTTGACAAAGATCTTAACTTCCTTTATTCCCATTGAACAGTAGTATATTTTTAGTACAACACCTTATTACATGAAAAAAGGATTGCATGTGATTGGGCTAGAGGAATGGGCTTTATCTAACAATAGCATGAATAGTAGTCATTTCACCTGAACCATTGCTGATTCCTTCTTGTATCCATATCAGCTCCCATCCATTGCCAAAGCCATTCAGAGGCGACTGGTGGCAGTAGTGTTTTGTGTCTGGTTGTGCGATGTCAAACAGGCTGTCCCAGACGACATGAAAGATCTGGCCAGCAGATGTTTCACAAAGTATGAGCCTGGTATTTAGTGATATCTTCACGTCTTTCATGTGGACTTTGGAGAATTCCAGCCTACATGCTCCAGAAGGCTGATCTTAAGGCAACCATTCATCAGCAGTCCATCCATGTAGCAAATTATCTACAAGGCAGAGCTCACTTTACCTCTGGTGGATGAAATCTGACAGCAAATTTGCTTGACATAGCTCTTACTTTTGTACCATCTAAATATCAGTATTGTTGTTTTCTTGATGTAAATATGATGTGAGCCAAATGCAAAATATCTAAACTGGCCAAGGTCATAGACAGCTGAATAAGTTAAATATGATGAGTTTTTAGACAATTGTTTACCCTGAGCAATGACCACTGAATAAGTATATGGACCCATCTTATTCTCATCAAGAGAAATATCAATATTGATGATTAAATGGCACACAAAGTAAGTACTCTATTTTAAAACTGTATTTAACTGCATTTTAGATTTAATTTAAATCTCTTTAGTCATTCTTTTTCATAAGGAAAATCACTTTATAAGTTCCAATCAAGATAAAAAGAAATCCATTACTGCTTTGTTCATCAAAGAAGATGAACTGTTGCCCTGAGACAGTGTTGTTCTTGTTCTGAGCTTGTTTATGTAGATTTTTTAAATTCCAGGGTTCTTGACAGCTTTTGAAATTATTGTTCAGGAATTTCCTTCTTTTTTTTTTTTTTTTTGCATATCCACACTCAGACACATAGCCATTCCCAATTTTTTTGCTAACCTTCCAAAGAGGGTAGGTAGCAGTTTTATTTTTCTTCTCATTTTTTCTTTTCTGAGGGCTGGAAAGAATAAGAACTAGCTCATGTGTGCTAACTGTTAATAAGTAAATGGTAATTAGAAAAAGCATTTCCTCATGTCTCCCATCTTTAATTTTCTTATCACATGTCCAAACTAGACCCATATGATGTGTTTTGTTTTCTTTTCTGATAATCCTTCATAATGTGGTTTGTCTCAGACTCGGAGCTTATGATTGTGAGTTTGTGACAGTGATTGCTGTTTTCTGGCTAGTGCCAGGAAATAAATGTTGCCCATGGATTAGAAGGTCCCCATAACATTTCTTGCATCTTGACATTCTTATATGTGTCTAATTCCTTTAATTGCTTATAAATATCAGATTAGCATCCAGCTTTTCTGCATTATTTGCTGCAAAGAATATGATTCTTTTTTCATCAAATTTCAAGTAAAGTTACAGTGTTGTAGAAAAGCAAAAAAGTGCCTGTTGAAAATTTCATTAGATCCACACTCTTCTTTTAAAAAGGAGGAAAAAACTCTCTCCTAGGCAATATATTGGAGGATCAATCTTTTCTCAATGAGTGTTTATCAATAATCTTTTGATAAGTTCCTGTTGCTTCAGCTGCTGTGTTAGTGGATTGCATGCCATTCATAGTTTGTGGCATCTGCAGATGCATAAAGCTTCTACGTTTTTCAGCAGTACTGCTTATCTCATTTTCTAGTTGT